AAACATGCCTTTTTTATGTTGCATGAGACCTTTGCTTGCAATGATATGCAATCTGATACAGTGTGATTCCTTTTTAAGAACTTGGGTATTCTCCAAGTCATAGCGTACTGGAAGAACCCATGATTGTCAGTAATCCTCCCGACGTCTGCCAAGTTATAGAAGTGACCACAGAATGTGATGACCAACCTATCAGCACAAGCCAGCTGTACCCATTACAGATCTCCCCAGTCTCCTCCTATGCAGGTTAGTGTTACGATGTAACCCGTTCAACATTGTCAGTTATAAACCCAGATATTTTACAAGAAATATTTATGCATGCTAAGCAAAAATGTTGGAACATTTTTCAGTCTGGCAAAGCAGAGGCTGCACTGAGAGACCAAGTATAACTGTTTATAAAGGCATGACTCAAACTCCAAGGAAGAGCTGGGAGATTGCTAGCCGGTCACTGATGGTGCATTGGGCACAAAAGCTGTCCCATTGATACTGCATCTTGCAGGTTCAGACATCAGTCATACTGAGTCAACAACTCTCAATTAAGGCAGCAGAAGTGAAGGAGATAGAGTTAGCAGGAGATCGAGAGACCTGCAGTTCTCTGTTTGTTTTGGAGGGTGTGGGGTGGGGGAGTGGGAATGGGGGGTGCCAGGAATGTGTGCTGCCGCGCCTGGGTCAGGGGTGAATGTGCTGTGCCTGGATTTGGGTTGGGAGCTTGAGCATTTCTGTGATTTCTGTCCCTGGCCCCGCTGACAGGCTCCTGCAGCCTCTTAGCAACAAATGTTAGAGCTAGAGGGTGTATGAGTAATCTGACCACCTCACGATTGCACAGTAAACCATTCCAGTAGGGAGAGTTAATAGTACTGCAGGGGTGGTCGGGGTCACTGTAGTCAGGGGACAGACATGATTCTGTGCAGCAAAGAGCAAGAGTGCAAGCAGCTTTCTAGCCTGCCCACTGCCAGCATTTGGGATGTTTGGTCTGCAGTGGGAAAGATCTAGTTGTCTTGGACTCTGTAGGTACCGGTGACATAAGCAAAGAGGTTGTGACCATGAAAGATTATGAGGTGGTAAGGCCTGTATTAAAGTGCAAACCTCAAAGGTTTTGACTCACTTAGAGATAGCAAGAACTGCAGATGATGGAGTTAGACATAACACAGTGTGGAGCTGGAGGAACGCAGCAGGCCAGGCAGCATCAGAGGAGCAGGAAAGCTGACCCTTCGGGTCAGGACCCTTCTTCAGAAATGTCAACTTTCCTGCTCCTCTGATGCTGACTGGCCGGCTGTGCACCTCAAAGGTTTTGGATCTTTTTCCCTCATAGAGTTCCCCACAGTGTGGAAACAGGGCATTCGGCCCAACAAGTCCACACAGACCTTCTGAAGACCATCCCACCCAGACCCATCCCCTAACCCTATCCCTGTATTTCCCATGGCTAACACACCTAACCTACACATCTCTGAACACTGTGGGCAATTTAACATGGCCACTTCACATGACCTGCACATCTTTGGACTGTGGGAGGAAAGCAGAGCACCCGGAGGAAACCCACGCAGACACAGGGAGAATGTGCAAACTCCACACAGAAAGCTGCCCGAGGCTGGAATTGAGATAGTAGGAACTGCAGATGCTGGAGAATCCGAGACAACAAGGTGCAGGGCTGGATGAACACAGCAGGCCAAGCAGCATCATAGGAGCAGAGAGGCTGACGTTTCGGGCCTAGACCCTTCATCAGAAAAGAGGCTGGAATTGAACCTGGATCCCTGGCACTGTGAGATAGCAGTGCTAACCACTAAGCCACCATGCTGCCCCAAGGTAATGTGGTCGTATTATTGGATGAATAAACGTTAGTCCAAATCCTGCTGAGGAGTTTAATTTCAGCAGATTAGATAAATCTGAAATAAAGTAAGACAGTATCAGTAGTTGTGGCTGTGAAACAATTTTTCTTGTGAAAACCCTTCTGGTCCAGCCTCTGTGTAAATCCAGACTCTCGGCAATGCAGTTGTCTTTAACTGTTCCACATAATGGTTGAGAAAGCTACTCAGTTCTGTTGTGACAACACTATGTCTGTAAGGGGTGTATTTTGTCCAGTTTTTATTTTTGATGAGAGGTTTTAAGATAGAAGTGGAGAACTGTCTATTTGAATCCAATAAAGTAAACAGTTTGTGAGGGCTTGGATTTTTATTTAAAATTTGAACAATAGAAGAAGCCTGAATGGATGTGGTCAAGCTCTCACAGAACCAAGACTTTTAGTTTTAGTTTCCAGTAGCAGTTGTTGCTGGGGTTTGAGCAGGGTTTAGAAGCTGCAGATAACAAGGTGTAGAGCTGGATGAACACAGCAGGCCAAGCAGCATCAGAGGAGCAGGAAGGCTGACGTTTCGGGCCTAGATCCTTCTTCAGAAGAAGGGTCTAGACCC